CGTGTATGTGGCGAGCATGTTTCCGCGTGTGGGCCAATTTCAGATAATTCTGTATTAAGGTAGCACATTGGCTTTATTTAGACTGGCCCATTTGGGGTTATTCAGCATCTCCACCATTGTCGCTGGCAGCAATTCCCATTAATCAGTGCACTAGGCCGTGGTGAACGCATTTCGATCGGAGGTTCATGTATCCATTGTCCCATGGCTTGGATCGCTTACTGTCTTGCGTTGTTTTCCTTTTGTTATGCTAAAGTGATGTGTACCAGGCTGCCATGATTATGTTTAAATGCTGTGTGCCTGTGGCATAGTAATATTAATACGCATGCGGTGCAAGAATTGGAGCAGCTGTTGCTGCGACCCTGCAGTCTGTTGTTGTTGTTGTTGTTGTTGTTGTTGTGGTGTGTACGAGAGGGTCGAAAAGAACGATTATTACCTAAAATTGACCAATTTCCGTGTAACGATTCTCATTCATTTTCAATGCTCAATAGAAACAATATGATTGTATCGATTTCTGTCTAACATTTTCTTTTTTTAAGCCGTCGCCTCGTTAACTCGTTAGAATTAACACTTTGTTATCATATTTATCAGGCTTTTACAGTGAGTGTATAGAAAAGGGGCACCTTAACGCTACGGAGAAAGGATCATTTCCCAGCAAGAAGGTCCAACTAAGCTTACTGAGTGAAAGGGATAGATAATTATGATTTGTCCTGTACCTTCTGATGGTACGTTTGACGTTAGTTTCGGATAACAGAATCCTCCTTTGTGTCCACACCGAATCTTTATTCAAAATATCTTCTCGAAGGCGTTGGCTAATCGACATTCTGACCTGTTTGTGCTGTTGTTAAACTGGATACATGTACATGTATACAACTTACTTCTAAACACACGTGTATATAGTCCACCAGGAGTGTGACACATGTATTCACATTCATAATTTTGGTCGGAGACCTAGCCTTTGCTTCGGATAGCCGGATATTGAGTTTCATGGATTCTGTTCTCGGGCAGAGTGCGCGGAATTATAAAATAATCGATAATCTTGCGGGTAGTCGGGTGTGGACATTGAACATTGCGTGCGGGTCGATAGAAAACTTTCCTTTAAACTCTAAGCGCGTTCCCTACTTCTGTCTGCAGCACTGCGACACTGTTTTTAGCGTTAATGAATCTAATATAGAGTGAGTTTCGCGAAGTGGATAGGAACGGAGCTGGGTTGCAGTTGTACGTTTGGGCCAAGACTAAACTTGTATTCCTTCCAATCTTTGATGTTACTCAGTTCATAGAGGAAAGATAGCACGAACGCCTGCATTGAATTGAGTTATCAATAACACACGAGTGATAGACTTTAGCGTCGAATGTGGAAATTGCACGAGGCAGGTTAAGCATCAAGATGATCAACATCAACCTGCCATGATAAGTCACGCTCATGATACCGCTACTGATATACCATTTTCTCCTAAGACGAGGGGAACGAAAAAATGGTGAGGAGGGCAGGGAAAGAGCTGGGAATAAGTGGGAAGAATGTGGGTAGCTTAAAGACGCGAGCTTTCAACTTCATATCCTCGTGATCCATTTCCTTGTACTTGCAAAATCACTTAGACAACCTTGCTTCTAACTGTGCCAACACCAGAACTATCCGTTAGGGCAGATGCTAAAGCTTCTGAGCATAATTCCACAGGTGACATTAATGGCAACCTAGTGCTTTAAACAACAATTCCACATGGACATCCTGGGCTTTTCGTGGTCCCTGCGCCCGTCATAAGCATCCAATACTTGCGTTTCCAAAATAGTGTTTTATGATCCTCCCCCTTGGCGGTGTACATACGCGGGTCACCGTGGATATGTCAATTACATCAATGCTTGCTGTGTACGGCATTGGATTATTGATTATGATAATATATTCACTATGAGAGGGAATGGAATAGTCTGAAGAAAAACTAGACTATCACCCCCAGGACTCGAACCAGGGACCTTCTCTTGAGGCCATCGATGATCTAACCACTGAACTGTAACACATGCTTTGGTTCGGCCATTCCACAACGCAGCAAGGTGAATGGTGACACTGAGTTCAAGCCGTACAGTTCAGGTTATTAGTGAGGTTTAGTGCCACGTAATCCGTGTGGAATTTTCGTGTGTGTACCACGTGATACTTGAAAACCAAAGCAAAATGACTGCCCAAATTCGGTAAATATAAATGAATGCACAAGCAACGTCAAAACAAAATCACGTGATACTCAGTGACCCACGAACAGCCGTTATCTGATTCACGACATACATGTACATATACTGTGTATGGAGGCTCACTCACGTTCAGCCTAAACCCATTGGGCAAACTGCGAGGGCGCTCAGCTGGAGAAGTTTTCAAAACAGGAAAACAAAACATTCGTTGAGCTTCGAAGCTCCGTCTTTACGTTCGCTTGCATGTGTCAGTTTCTTGTCGCATGAATATTTATTCAAGTACATGTACAAGTATTTCTCGTTTTTCTTGATTCCGTGAGAGGCATTACACGCACAGTACATGTACAAGTGAAAGAAGAGGTAGTCATACTTGGATTCGGCAAAAAATTGACTTCCTGAAAAATCAAAAAGCTCGTACTGCCTGATGGCGCATCTGGAATGCCCTCCGAGGCACATCGACCAATCCTTACTCGACACAAACAGAAACCAAGATCACGTCTAAGTATTTTCTTTTCTCCCTGAACCTTTATCCAAGGTGTTTGGGCCCCGGGAAAAAACCTGTTCCATTTCTTGTTTTCAGAAGTTTTGAACCTGCCAGTGTGTGACTAAACACAACATTTCGAAAGAGGGTAAATTAATTGCATGAACTTAACGTGAACCACTCACGTGCTCGTATCCATTATGTGTAACTAAACATCCCTCTTGATTATGCACTACAACCATGTAATTGCTGCTAGTCGGGCGTCGCTCGCAGTGCTGGATCGCGGATAGGGCACGTGATCAGGCTGCCACAGCTCTTTCAAAGTTTCATGCATGCATCTACACGCTGTCACTTTCTTTCTCTCTGCACAATCAATGTACAGGTACATGTACAGTACATATACATGTATCTTTACAGTAAAACCTGGTGTAAGCGATCACTCCACGGTGCAAACAAAAGCGGTCGTTATAGCCAGGTGGTCTTTAGAACCAGGTCCCATACATTCGTGGCAGATCGGATCATGCACATGTACGTACATCTACATGTGCATAATTGTAAAAGTACATGACAACGGTACATGTACATGTATTGTACATGTGAGTGTAGAACAAATTTTGCTTGCAAAAGTGAAAGGCAGATTTGACTTGCACCACAAGCCATGAACTGTATCGGTGTTTGTTGACCTTCCACGCCTTCAATTCATTTTCTCAACGGCTACAAAATTAATAAACAACGCCAGCTCTGTTTGTGTAGTAAGTGGACCAGGGTGAAACCGTAAAATAATACGCTCCAGGAATCCGCAACTTGCGTCAGCGAAATACTGCGTTCTCACAAGGCACGCTCAGATCAACCCTGAGCTCAGAAACGGGGTCGCTCACGTAAGTGTCTTTATGCACCCTGCTTGCGAATTGAATAAGTTTTGTATGACAGTAATTTACTAAGGATAATGCAAGGTGCAACTCCGAATGGGTGATTGGAAGTATAATAATAATTATTCTCTACGCAAATGGCTCGTGGATACCCAACGTATTGAGAAGAGTAGCATGCTGATTGACAACAGATACAGTATAAGCAGCATTGTGCTTCCTCCCGAAAGCTCATTATCCTCATGCCCGTTGTGTCTCTGTTGCTCTTGACTGGCTATCGAAATCCTATTTCTTTACAGAGTTGCTGCTACTTTTGCTACGGTGTCGTGTGCCCTCCTAACCCCTTCTTTCACGTATAATATTATTATTTTATTGTCGTTGTTAGCTATAACCCACTCTCGTCACATTGGCTGGTGTTTCCACTGAGTCTTGAGATGTGGTAATGATGATTGTAAACAAAATACCTGACTGTGCGTACTTCTGCAGGGCCAAGTTGTCAGTGCAACATGGACTACGGTGAACAAGCAGTACAACGCAAGTGTGTAGCCTCTACGTGTGCCTTCGTTTCAATGCTCATTGCTTTCGTTGCAATCTACTTGGCCATCGCCGTCCGAATAGAGTTTATCTATCCATCCGTTTTCTTATTCTGCCTTAGCATATGCCTGACTTGCGCCGCTCAAGCCCGCACGCGACGGAATCCATTAGCTTCCATGCCACAAGGAGCCGCCATGGCTGCAGTTGTGACGCCCAAAGCCACAGGCCTAATGAATCCTCTCATCCAGATAGACAGAGGCAGATATGCTTCTTCAACACCAGACTGCGTCATTTACCATTTGCAACAATTCGCACACGCAGCACAGGAGCACGAAACAGACTACGACAGTGAAGGAGGTGTAAGCAACCTACCAACATACGAAGCAGCCCAGTCTCTCCCTCCCGTGCATGTGATTGCGATCTCGGAGACGGCCAACTCAGACCCAGAAAGGCAAAGTAGTTCGTAAAAATGACTGATGTAGAAATTTGAAATTTTGATTTCATGGCCGAGTTTCAGCACTTGTGTCGTTGGTGTTCTTCCTTCTTTCCATGTCGTGTTGATTGAATAAACCCTTTTTTTGTCGATGATGTAGAAATTGTCAGATACAGTACTACTGTACTATGTTTTGTCCATACTTCTGTATTAGCGGAGCTGAATAGAAGCGTTACTATCATCCCGCCTCATGCTTCCTGGAAAAGAATACGCATGAATGCAGCCACTGATTTTTCTTCAGAAAAGAATTCATGCACATGCCAGAAAATAATGATAAAATTTTAGAAACTGATGCACCGAATCCTTTCAAGATAGAACACAACCCTATCCTTGTGTTCTTTCCATGGTAAAACTATGCGTTTTACCGTGCATAAACTGCCAGTACCACCAACCCCTCATCCAGAGAAATTTTGTAATTTTCTTCTTAATTCACCAAAGGCTTTCGCCTATCGAGCGGGTTTCCAAACTTTCCATAATACCAAATCTGTAAAAGAAGTGATGAGCAATGGGTAAGCAAAAAATTAGATAGACATACCAGTAGTCTAGAGCAGAGCTCAGGGCTTGAACATACAATTGAAATTTGTAAGCGTGCAGACGAGCAAGGTACCAAACAACAAATACACATATACATCGAATCTGCTGGCAGAAGCACTCATTATTTGCACGACCAAGAGCATCTTCCATTTTGGTTAAGGATTGAATAGAATGAAAACTCAGAGCTACAACAAATGAATCTTGAGGTTCTGTAACATGAATATGCATGTACATGTATGCATGGCAGCCTGCACAGGGCATCTTCTTCTAGTGAGGCGAACCCCGTCAAGGGAAAGTTTAGTTACCGATATGTACCACTGAGCCAGCGGCACGGAGAGAAAATTATAAATTTCTAGGTGAGGGGATCTACATCAGATTACACAGAACTTGAACAGAACAATCGATGGCTACTCCGTGTGTTGGCGAATACGCTATTATGCCATGCATAAGAAATGGACTTGTATCTGGAAAAGGTCCTAAGCACTGCGCGATGAACACAACAGCAGCACCTGGATTCGTGAAGAGTAGCATCATAATCATCATTTTCAAAATCGGGAAACAATTTTACAACTCCAGATTAGTTGCATCAAAACATTCAATACAGAAACTCTGATGAGTCACAAAATTGGGGCAGTCCTCTAGAATTTGGTTTTTGGACGTTTATCATCCCACGCCTTGATCCTTGGGTGTGACGCTACCTTGTCCAGGAGAGCTACTAAAGCCGGTGTCTTCTCAAGTGGTTTCGGGTTGATGTCCTTCAAGGTGGAGGCAACGTAGTAGAAATGAATGTCAGCTTGGGTAATCTGTATCGCACAACAAAACAGACAAGAAAAAGTTCAAAACACTTCAACTCTGATCCATGGCATGCCAGTAGCGTGGCTGGTCATCCTTCTAGATGGTGCATGGCCACATATGCGTAGGACATCTTGTGCATGTCATGCATGGTCATTATAATAATTATGTGTGCTGAACATAGAACAGATTTGTTTCTTGGGGGGGTGGGGGTGGGGGATCAACCCCCCCCCCCCCTCCTCACCCTGCCGCATAAACACACAATGGCACAACAATTTTTTTGTGGGACTGAGATGGTGCGACCGCGGTAGTTTTCCCGATGCAAAGGGACCGTCACTATACTGTAAATATACAAAATTTCGGCACTGCAAAATTTCGGCACTTCATGATTTCGGCGTGGGGTAGAGGGCATGGTATAGTGCGACAGACGCTGTGAAATATTTCATCGGCGTTTTAATTTAGGCGTTTTGGGTCGGTGCAGAATAAAGCCGAAATTAAATAGCTGCCGAAAATTTGTATATTTACAGTAAGTTGCTATCCCCAATGATGTTATGGCAGCACTACGTATTACAGTGCTCTCGGAGCGCACATTTCATTAGCTTAGCCCTTATCCACCTTACTTACTGAAGTAGCTGAAAAGGGGGAAATTCCCAGCAAATATTGTATTTTTCAGTTTTCATGGAATAGGTCAGCTTCATTCATGCTACATTACTGTCGGGCACGAAGAACGATCAGGTTAGAACTTTACCAAGCACAGCATACCAATGTTTATACTGATTTTGAATGCAAACTTCACTCTCTCCAGCACACAACACTCTCGGGTCAACTGGGCGTAGAATGTTATACAAGAAATTGGGGACGGTCCAGGATAAGAGGCTGAACCCCAGCTCTTTGGCAACCAACAGTACTGTAGAACGAGTCCACGGCGGATATGTGACAAAACACGAAACAGCTCTCGGACCTAAAGCTTTCAGATCCTTTAGTGCAGTGAGCATTTATCCAGTGTGTTGCCTGGACCTGCTTGCCCAGATACATACGGTCGGGTAAAGTGCATAAAATCTCTGAAATATCACGGGGCGTCAGGAAAACAGTCGTATCAGCTGCTTACCGACTTGCCGTGAAGAACTCCTGCCTCGTTCTTGGCTGCAAGCTGCTCTAGTTTTGCAAGAGCTGCTGGCAATTCCTGTTCCTCAAACGACTTTTCAAGAACCTTGTACACACCCAACACAACCAAAGCAGCAAGAAGACTGTTTCAGACCACACAGGGCAAAGAGAACACCATTGTAGAAAACAAGATAAGAGAGAGGCTGATGGCAAAACGTGCAGCCTTGTTTTGAGAGACCGCTCATCAAATCAGACGCAACACTCATTAAGTCTAGTTCACATTCAAAGTGGCCCTGCAGGACGTGATGTAAGGGTCCACGGCATTGGATGCGAACTCATGAGAACGCTTCCGTACTACTGTATGAATTGGGCACTTACAGCATTACTGAATCTGCTCAATCTTTTATACCGTGTGGGGGAACAAGTATACAAACTGGCAGTACAGTAAGATCGGGCGCCGAAGAACGCAGGGGCTCGAGCGCAGCCTAGGAAAGTTCTTAAACTTTTGATTCTAGCCAGACCGTTCTTATTCACACGCGCGCGGCGAGTCGAGTGACGTCATGACGTTTGTCATGTACATGTACATGTACATGTACAGTCATGTACATGTAGTGCAATGTACTTCTAAACTAGTGGGTGTCGTAAATGGGTATAACTGTACGTACATGTACATGTAGCAGTTACTGTTTATACGTGTACATGACAATCATGTACTCACCTCCCATACATGTACAATTTTGTAAATTTTAAAAGTGTTCTTAAATCTGATAATTCTAGCCTGGACTGTTCTTAAATTTTGCCGGTTTTCCAGCCTGGGTGTTCTTCGGCGAGGTGTTCTTCGGCACCCGATCTTACTGTATTTCGAGTTCTGCAAGTCAACTTTATCTACTTTCCCTCTTTTTCCACTCAATACTTGCGAACAAATAAGGGGTCGTCGCAAAGCTTTTGCTGTTGAATCTGAAACAAGCATCTTTCAGTTTGCACTCAGCCCCTCAACTATACCTCTTTTGGAAAAGAAAAAGAGAATGCTGGTTGTTATGCTGGACGAAGAAAATCGTATTCATCTGAATGTATATGTTGCATGTCGGTCGACTTGCAGTTTGGGGTCCCATCCTCTTCCAATACTACATTCGTTCAAGGGGCTGCGATCGGCTTTTTCGACAAACCCTTAAGCGGGATTCACAGAATTTTTTTGCGATGCAACACGTGATGCGACATCCGCGAAACCGGGAAATCCCCAAATCTCAGCCATCTCGCATCCCACTCAACTACCGCAACTGGGCAATCGCTGGCTCAACTTTTCCGATGCGACAAACGATTTGGGGTTCGATTTCGATTTTTACGACTTCTTCTGTGAATGGTGTCTCGTGAGTTCGCATCGCACGCATCCGTCACAGATCAGGTCGCATCGTGTGTCGCATCTCAAAAACCTTCTGCGAATCCCGCTTTAAGCGCGGTGCACAATATCACTTCTGTGATGCGATGCGATCACGAGTTGATCTGTAAAAGTTTGCATCGCAGGTTGTCGCAGCTCCGCCACAGGAAGTTCTGCCCAGCTCAACTTCTGCGACTAAAGATACGACTCACTTTCTACACCCCAGACCCATTTGACAGTTTGTGTGCGGTTAATGATTGTGCTTGCCGTGCATGGGGTATGTTGCGATGTGCCGTACATTGTTCATGGAAGACTCTTCGCGCGTTACCAAAAATACTGTCGTTCGACGCTCATCGCATCGCAGAAGTGATATTGTGCATCGCACTCAAAGGCTGCGCTCAAAACCGACGTCAATGCAGTCAATTTGGATGCACATAACCAAAACGTCGCTGTTACGTTTCAAACTCTGACCGCGACCTGAAGAGAGGGGCGACACGGGTAAGGATGTTCAGTCACATGAAACCAGGACGTATCCAGTTTGGCCTGCATTCAACTCGCATGACCATAGGGTGGATAATTTGAACTCAGGCGCATACGCAGGATCACCTCTAGGGGGGGGGGGTTCCAACCCAATCACAAACAAGGAGTTTTTTCTTCGATCGTAGAGTTTCGATATTGTTTTGCTGTGTGCTCTTCAGATTATCACAAGTGAAACCCGTGCCAAATTGAACAAGTCAGTGCAGTGGGAAGAACAGCTCAAATTCTCGATACTCAAGTCCCACTGTGCTTTTGAATTTGCCGATATCGCGACTCATCTTACGAATGATTTATTTGAAGAACCATTGCATTATTTCGACCGACAGCGGAGAGTTTTCTATCCGACCTGGATATTCGGATTGTTGGACTTCAGCGAGATTTGACTGAGCTGTGATCTGTTGAAGGTATGTATTCTTTCAGATCGATCGCGCACCCTAATAGAATTGCCCAAAAACGTTGCTCGTTGGAAACATTCAGGGGTTTCCGGGCACGCTGGAAATTAGTTTGTCTTCAATAAAGTTTGCCGTTCAGGAGTTCAACGTAAACGAATACTTTTGATTTAATATGATGCCTGGCTAACCATAGGATTGACCCTAGTTCGCACTAAAGGAAAGTTTGCTTTATCAGTGTTCGTCCTGATGAGGTTTGACTGTACAATTGTGCACATGTACGTACAAGGTTCAATATTCCACAAATATATGGGACCTTGTACTAAAGACCACCTGGCTTGAACGACCGCTTTCGCTTGCACCGTAGGGTGGTCACTTAAACCAGGTTTTACTGTAGTGTGAGCATCACGTTTCTGTCTCAAGGCGTTGCATGGCCGGGAGCATCTTACCGCAGTGCGAACGAGCCAAAAAATAATGAGATAAACAAATCCAGCAGGAACTTACCACATCCCCGTTCTTGGCATAAATCTCCCTCGACGGCAGAAGACTGGTTAGAAGTCTGTCGATGTAGTACGTATATGAACCGATGATGTGCTTGTCCACGTCCGTTTCACCTCCGAAGCCTGTGGAGAAATATAATATAGATCATTCAGAAAAAAAGAATAATATGACCAAGGTTGTGTTGTAACTGTGAGTTTCAAGGCGCAAAGCGAAGATCTGACAACAGTAATGAGACAAATACAGACACTGCGTGGGTCGACGCTGGTTTTTAATACAGGTTCGTACCTACAAACAAAGGCGTAAACACAGCAGTGGTGAAACATTTGTTTGCTTCTGTTTGCATCGTGTATCGCGGTGAATTGACCAGTGCACGAGCTTCCGGTGCTCTGCGAAAGAGCATCAGATCTCCACAAATGATACAATGTTGGAAATGCCATTAGCTCTGCAATCCAGAGATATACAGTTATTTGCAAATCGGATAAGGATGGACTAAGTGGCGAAAAAACGAACATGGAAAGCACGGCCTGGAGCGATCGCGATTGTCTTTGTTTGTGACTTCTCATTTTTTGGAGCATACCAGGGGATTTTCCTTTCCCTCGAATATGGATTATGTGCCATAAATGAAGCGCGTCGATCTCAGCTTTGCAGCGCAATTTGAATCGTGAAAATTGGCAGAATTTGAGGAAGAAGCAGAAAAAAGCATCTGTGACTGAGTTGTCGTTTCCTAGCGAGGCATGGTGGGCCAGTTAGGAGAGGTCGTGGGACTAGGTGGGACGTTGGAGCTGAGAGCTTTCAATATGGATTCGCTTGGTCCTTATCTTTCCAACAAGGCCAGGTTCGTGAAATTCCATCATGGTAAACTGAAATCAGAATAAATTTCGTTCAGACCAGTACGCCCAAACTCCTCCAGGAGAGTCCGTCGGCTGGAGTGCCAGTATATTCGGGGAAACACGCCAGCATGGAATGGGTTGATAGTGGTAAATATAAATGTCTGTGATTTGTGGCAAAAATATGGTACGGGGTGCAACTTATACTCCAGTACGGCTTATACTCCGGAAGATACGTAGGTGAAGCAAAGCCAACGACCAGCATTGACGAGTCAACTTTCCTATCGGATTAAGACCTACCATATTTGCAGGCGATATACTGAGCTGCCAAACATCCCTCATGCAGATTGACACCATCTTCTTCAAGAGCCGGCAAGTAGTCAGGCATCATTGCTACACAAAGGAACAAAGGAGCATGTGCGTATGTCCACATAGAAACATGCATGCACACACATACACACACACACACATGCACACAAACACACACGATTTTTAGTAATATCCCGGCCCGAAAACAAAATGTCGAGCTGTGTTTCCCGTCCAATTAATGTTCAATGAGGGTCCAATGGCGCAGTGACGCCATAATATTTCATTACACCAACTTGTGTACATGGATTCAATTTGAAGTAGAAGTTTCCATCACCTGTGAAACAAACCCTATTATTGTGCCTGGTTTAACACTAGGCCGATTTTTCGGTTGATGCTACGCACCAACTCCGACAAGAAATCGGCCGACTTTGTCGGATGTGCCAGACCAGCTATGGTGAGCGATTCAGCTTTTACTAATTGGATACGTGTCTGTTCGCACCCGTACACTTAGTACTCAGCCGCGCTAGACACTAGTAGAATCCACAAGGCGGAGACAGGATCGTTTATACACGAGCTACAGCACAGTACAGGGCCAAAGGCATGAGGAGACTGGCGGCTAGTAGTGATCCAAAGCAACCAGTTCACAGTCTGCGCCGCTGGTCCCTGCTGTTATGGTGAAAAGACGTAAGCGATTGGCTGTGTAGGCCCACTCCACCATGTGCAAGCACAAAAAAATAAGCTAACTTTTCGGCCAAATATTGACCAGTCGATACTTGGCCGAATACTCGTAAGACAAGAAACGACATAACCGACCACACCAGACGATCTCTGCGCTGCTCCAGACTATTTTCCGAAACATCTCCTTGTCGGCCAAAAAACCGGCATTATGCCTGGTCAACAAAATTAATATGAAATGCCATGATACTACCGTACCAATCCAAACCTGCTCCTGGCGTTCATGGTCTGTATAGGTAGTCCGACTCATTAGGCCGATTTCGTGTGGGAGTTTGTATTGGAGCAGGGGTCAAACAATCGACCTAGTGGGAGATACTAGTAAGCACTAACTGCTGTAATTTTTTTGTTAGCAAGCTCGAACTTTATTCACTAATGACCCCAATCACTTCCAACAGTGACCCATTCAAAGTTGCACATGTTGCAGATCGAGGAGTGTTGCACGAACAATTGGGAAACTGCACACACCGATGGCCCAGTCATGCCAGCTATAATTATAGGACACCACAGCGCGACTCACTTTTCTTTAGCTCGGGCCAGGCCGGCATCTCCAAGCGGTTGTCCTCGAACTCCACACCAGCGAACGACAGGCAGTAGCGAAGCAACTCAGCACGGCCACGGCCGTTGAAATAAGTTAGTTTGTACACGGCCATTGCAAGGGTCGATTAGGAACCAAAGAAATAATTAATAACAACTGGAGTGGAGAGGATGCAAGCGAGGATTTGCTTTCACAATACAGAGCCCACAAAGAAACTCAACGAGTACAAAGCCTCACGCTAGACTGACGGAACTTTGCCAATGGTAGCGAATAAAAAGTGAAAATGGGAAGGGAATTTCTTTTGGCGACGCTAGCGCTTTCTTTAGTATAGTATACTGTCGAGTGTCCTGTAAAAGTAGTTGGGTTGTTCTAGTGGCTTCTTTCCGATTCATGCTACTGACAGTACTGTACTACTGGTACTACATGTGGATCTACTGCAATAGGCTCGCGTATCTCTGATGTGACATGTGTCAGTACTATGACTATGTTGCCTGTTGGCCGTGCACGCTTGCACGGTCCATACAGGACTGAGGTGCGCGTGCATGCAGTGTACATGTAGTTGGTAGAATAACAGTAAGAGACTAACTGTTGTTCTAGTCCCTTCTTCTGGGCGAGAGGTGAAATACTGTCAAGAATGAGCAGTGACATGTTGACTATGGGTGTGAGCGTCTGAGCGTCTGAGCTAAGCCTAAGGCCAGTATTGATTGTTGATTGTTGGTCGATCGTGAAACATCATTCTAGAATTTGCTAGATATGCATCAAGGTCACACGCACGAGTGTCCCATTCAGCCCGCTGAGCCTGACTGAGAGTGGGAAAACGAATGAGTTTTTATGTACACAATCATGTTCATGATCAATCCTCATCATCATCGCTGTTCTTATCCTGAACTAACTCAAGCCGTAGAGTTCAACTGTAGCACTGTTTAGTAGTGTTACTTCTCAACTGAGACTGATGAAGACAGTGAAGTGGTTGAGTGAGTGTCATGTCGACGGATCGCATGTGCGCGCGCGCCTCTCGAGCAGAGTAAAGACTCAGCTGACCAGTACACCATGGTACACCCGGACGCTCTAAGGCCAGCTGATTGTCAGCTGATCAGTCTCAGACGACTGGCATGGTCGACCGGTCCGTCACCGTAGGTCTGTACCATGTGTACGGCGACAAGGCAATGAATGTCACGTAGGAGTTGCCGGCAAATACAGTACATGTACAATGTACATGTAGCCCTTGCAGCTAGCTTTCCCAAAGATGCCAAAATAATTCGCAACTATTACTTACATGTACGTAATTACATGATTGTATGCTTTCCGCAACTATGCCAAAACAAGTGAAAGTTGTTGATTTCGCATCCATATTTTCAGAAAAAGCTCAAAAGTTCCTGATATCGCAACTCAAAATGACCGAATTCTTGTGCATAATAATGATGCCAAGAACAGGCAACAACTGAGTGGGGGAAATAGGCAACACTGCAGCATACTGTGGCGCAGCATAACCATTATAACTGCCTGAGTAGAGTCATGCGTGCACACATGGATGAACACTGGTATGTTCACAGAGTAAAACATGCTAGCTTTGGAAAATGAACAGACTTTTTTATTTTTATATTTATTTTTTATTTCGGCCAGTCGGCTACTATCATTTTCGTTTTGGGGGGTTAGACAAGGGGAAGTAGCCATGTATGGGCGTTAGCCCGCCTTTCGGCACAGGGAGTTGCAGCTCGCTCGACTTGACTCTACTGAGTGCAGAGGACCCACAACTTGATCTGGTGAGCTGTGTCATGGGGATTTTGCAGTCAGATGTGCAACTTGAAATGAGGTTTGTTGGTGCTTCGCACACAGCTTTTACAATAATTACATGTACACATATACATAGCAGACTCAGCGGAAGACGTTCAGGTTGGTTGTAACTCTGAGTTTCATGCCGCTAGGCAATCATCAGACAACTGATACTCTGGTCTACCCAACAGTATGCTTATAAACACATAGGGCCACAAGCATAAACAAATTTAGCGCTAAATCTGGTGTGAGGTATGGGGAGAAAGCTGGCGCGGGCCAAGGCGCGAGCTCGCAAAACACGTATGGGAGCTGAAGAGCGAGGGAAAGCCGTTGACCATCACATGGAAGGTGCGGGAGAAGAGCCGATCATACAGATGTGAGTCAAAAAATGCAATCTTTGTACCGCGGAAAAATTCCACATCCTGACTTTACCCAAGACGCTCCTACTCAACAAGCGGTCTGAGATGGTCTCGAAATGCAGGCATGAGAATAAGTTCCGCCTCGCAAATTTCACACCAATCACATGAACTGACCAAGTACTGTACTGCACTTTGCCTGAGCACCCATTATTATTAATACGGAGCATCAGCAAATCGAATATTCGAATGAAATTCGAGAATCGTCACGAAAAGCACTCAATCAGTCGAAACTAGGGCTTTGTTCGACTGAAAAATGCCCGCAAACAGAAAATACTTTTCGAATACTTTTCGAATGCTCCGCGCGTGCTCTAGTACACGGCGCACTACGAGTACTCATTCTTGCGCATGTAGCTACTAGTTCTTACTAAAGTACTAGTCCGGACTTCTTGTCAATCTTGACGCTTTCCTCTCTCTCGAACTGTGAAAAGTTTTATCAAGTGTGCATTTTGTTTCATTTCAAGTATCCTGGAATCATGGCTTTGTCACCAACTACCAGCCCCGGTATGCGCCTCCTGCTCCCAGTACTGCAGTAGCCCTGCTGGCGTTGTCTCGGCATCTGCGTCTATGGTGAGTTCCCCGCAGGGAGAGGGCAACTCAAAGTGTGCCAAATATTTGAGGGTCGACCTTACCATGGATCTCATTCTGCTGAGGCAGTGTAGGGCCCACCCTCACCTATTCGTCCGCGGGTCTCCTGATATGCAAGGGATAGCGGAGGAGCTCGGCCGAGATCCGCCTTTTCAAGGGGTCTCCAAGAGAGATCCTATCGCCAATAGCCTGAATCGGATGAAGCATCCGCCGCTTCGCGTCATCCCCAAAGGCAATGAGAAACAACAGCAACTCCGTTCATTGCACATCTCAAAATCCCAGTCCTCAAGCTAAAAAAAACTCGATTCGAAAATACTGGACTGCGCTACATGCTGAACCTCTTTTTCATTCGAATTTTCTCTCTGATTTTCTTTTTGCCATTCGAATAATCAAATCGAAAATTCGATTTGCTGATGCTCCGTAATAACACAATCCCTTGGCCTGTTGTTGGCGATGCCACTCTGCTCACACCTGCCCGTCACCAAACGACTCCCTACTAGTTGTAGTGATCACTGGGCCACTGCCCGCCACCCTCCTGGCACCCCCCACACATCTGCTGTACACTGCCTCCCCATCGCCTCTTTCCGCGCTTTCATGCTCACCCCTGCCTGTTGCCCGCCACCCTCCTGGCACTTCCACTGTCGCGCCTTGGCCCGCGCCAGCTTTCTCCCCATACCTCACACCAGATTTAGCGCTAAATTTGTTTATGCTTGTGGCCCTATGTGTTTATAAGCATACTGTTGGGTAGACCCGAGTATCAGTTGTCTGATGATTGCCTAGCGGCATGAAACTCAGAGTTACAACCTACCTGAACGTCCTCCGCTGAGTCTGCTATGTACTAAGCTCTGTCTCTGACATTGAGCACTCTCTGCAGCTCGGGGATCAACGGATTTTGTACACATGTACATGTACATAAACATGTATACATAGCAGACTCAGCGGAGGACGTTCAGGTTGGTTGTAACTCATGCCGCTAGGCAATCATCAGACAACTGATACTCGGATCTACCCAACAGTATGCTTATAAACATAGAGCCACAAGCATAAACAAATTTAGCGCTAAATCTGGTGTGAGGTATGGGGAGAAAGCTGGCGCGGGCCAAGGCGCGACTTAGGGGAAGTGCCAGGATGGTGGCGGGCAACAGGCAGGTGTGAGCATGAAAGCGCGGAAAGAGGCGATGGGGAGGCAGTGTACAGCAGATGGGTGGAGGTGCCAGGAGGGTGGCGGGCAATGGGCCAGTGAGATCGCTACAAGTAGGGAGTCGTTTGGTGACGGGCAGGCGTGAGCAGAGTGGCATCGCCGACTACAGGCCAAGGGATTTTGTTATTAATGATAATGGGTGCTCAGGCAAAGTGCAGTACAGTACTTGGTCAGTTCATTTGATAGGTGTGAAATTTGCGAGGCGGAACTTATTCTCGTGCCTGCATTTCGAGACCATCTCAGACCGCTTGTTGAGTAGGAGCTTCTTGGGTGTAGTCAGGATGTGGAATTTTTCCGCGGTACAAAGATTGCATTTTTTTGACTCACATCTGTATGATCGGCTCTTCTCCCGCACCTTCCATGTAATGGTCAACGGCTTTCCCTCGCTCTTCAGCTCCCATACGTGTTTTGCGAGCTCAGTGCTGTTTTTGTATTTTTCATGACGCATGGAGGTCAGGTGGTTGGCGTGACGGGCTTTGAAAGGTGTCTTTGATAGGCCAATGTAAATCTTGCTGGAAGATTCTGCAGTGGCCTCAGACACAATCTCCTTCGTCTGGCACTCTCCGCGCAGCGGGCAGGATTCCTTGATTCTACAGTTGCATGCCTTGATTTGTTCTGGCTCTCGGAGGTTGCTTTTGTTGTGGCTGCTGATGACCGCTCCCATGTTGGGCATGCAACTGTAGCTCACTTTCAGAGTGTTACGGTTGAAAATCTTCCCGAGCTTGGATGTTTTCGGGAAGTGCCTGGAGACAAGGCTCAGGAACCTACCAGCGACGTTTGTGCTAACGTTTTTTGGAGTAGGGAGGGTTGAACCATATGATCTTCCGGCTGCGGTTCTTCCTGCCCATGTGCTCATGTGCCTCGGGCTGAAAGCTCAGCACTTCGGTGTATCCACTGGCCTTTAATGCGGTCTGGTACACGGGGGCTGCATGGTTGAATGCCTCCGCGTCGCTCGATATAGCGGAAAGGCGCTTGTTGACAGCAGCAGGGATGTTGTTGGTGATCCCAGGCGGGTGGTTGGACTGCTTGCTGACGTAGAGCGGGTTGTCATTTGGTTTTCGAAAGGGTTGAAATTTCCCGGTGTCCAGGTTCATGGTGACATCCAGGAAATCCACCACCTTCAAGTTCGCTTCGATGGTAATTTTGAGGTCGAAGCGCTTGAAGATTTCCGTCAACTTTTTTCTGAGGCGGTCTGCAGCCTGTGGGCTGGTGTCCTTGAGGGCGGCCAGTCCATCGTCTCTGTAGAGGCCGATAGCGGATCTATCGACGAGGCTTGAGAGCTGGTTGAGAAGAAAGGCTCCCACAAGTTCGCACGTCTCGGCGCCATCGTAACTTCCCATTGTTACGTCGAACATGTCGCCCTTGTCCTTCATCCAGGGGCGGCCATCGTGGAATAGGAGCGATTTCCGGGCGTGAAAGATGATGTCCATTTCACGCGGCTCGATCGTGGTGAATTGCTCCGCGAACGATAAGGCCTGACGGAGGAGCTGCTCACCAATTGACGGGTAGAATTCTACCACGTCAAAGCATAGGAACGTGTGGCGCTGTTTGTCGGGTATCTCCTTGAACCACTCGATCACTGACATGGTGCTCCTCCATAGGTTCACGGCCGTTTGGTTACGCACAGCAGCCACGATCTTCTCCAGTATAGCCTTGCTCACCACACCCACCTCCGATTTGGCTGGGTTAATGAGTCTGCAGGGCAGCGCTCTAGCGAAGTTGTTTTTGTGGTCTTTCACTGTTATAAATGCTTCCGACTTAGCCAGTACATCCATCCTGTTTTGAAGATCTAGATCCTCTGCGATCTCCTTCGCCTCGCTGTTGACTTCATCGTAAGCATTCTCAGGCGCGATCTTGTAGTTTTTGGTGATGTTCTCCTTCATCAGCTTGCTGTATTGCTCTTTTGGTACTTGGTACAAATTCCGGGTTTTATCGGGTTTCACGATGATGTCTTTAGAGTTTTTGATCGTTTTGGTGTCTTTTCTCATAGTGTCTTGGAGGCTGTCTGATACTTGGCGGAAGCTGACCGTTTCAGCCACGCCAATGAGGTCCTCTTCGAAGGCCTTCAGTTCATCCACTTGCGGAGGACACGTCCTGCTTCTGAAGCCGAAGCGTTCTGGTTGCTCCTCTTCGCGTTCCTCACCATTGTAGTTGACGTTGATTTAGTGACTTTGGCAAGTTTGAATCGTGTCAAGAAGTCAGGTAGGATTCAGTACTAGGCAGTAGTGAAACGTGAGTGGCAGTCTTTGCCGGTTTCTGAGGGCATCCTGGATTCGGTGTGCAGCGCTGTGGAAATGGCTTGCTGTGGAGGTCCCAGCACTGGATGTTGTATCAAAGGTACGACCTCGTAGCACGTGCTAAACCTAAAAAAAATCAAAAATTGACTTGGGTCTGTGGGAGTCCGTGAAAGAACGCCCACTCGTTCCGTTGTGACAGATTCCAGGGCCACGTTGAGGGGCCCTACCCCACCACCCATGGCTGCTTCTGGACTTGTTTTAGGTTTGGGTCCCGCGCACGGACAGAATGGGCACGAAAATGTGAAAAAATGTAAATGCATTTGCTTGGCTCCTGGGTGGCTCGCACACCGTAGCACTATGCCGGAAATTTGAGTTTTTCCGGCCTGGAAAGCCTGTCAGTGAGGCGCAAGAACTTGTAAATCATTTCCTGAGGGCCAGCATAATGGCAGGAGTGTGTGGTCAAAAATTCACTCAAATCCACTGAGAAACACCAAAGTTACGGTCAATTGAATGCCATATGAAATATTTGGGTGATGTGCCCCCTTAAGTTACAACTCATTCTGTCAGTGATAGATTTTTCAACTTCCGCCCGAACTGAACAATCTGCACGTATTTTGCTGAGCGCGGAAGGCAGCCAGTCAAATGTGAACGTGAGGTTTGGCGCACACACACACAGACACACACACACACACACACACGAACACACACACACACACACACACACACACACACACATAGGTGCTGGCGGATAATGCCGGCATTATATCTAGCATTATACACCACCCGGAGCATTACGAGCATTATAAAGCATTACGAGGCTAAAAATGGCATTATACGACGTTCTACATGACTGCATAGTAGATCTACACGCATGCTCATGTACAGATTCGTATACGCTATAGCGTTGGTCTTTGATTGGCAACATTATTACTATGCGATGACTACAAGCGATAGACCACCGCACACATCATGCATGGTACCAAACAGATCGTGGCACGCAGTGCCAAGCCCAGTATACTGCAATCTGCATGCAGTATAGTGCTAGCTAGCTGTGGTCCAGCACAGTGTGGAAACTCTCGCAGAAACTTCCGGTCCCGGAAGTCTATCTTCGGCCAGCAACTAACACTTTTTGAAGATCCAGGTGACAACGCCGAACCAACGAAACAAATATGAGCCAGCATGGAACGGTGGAGGTGCACACACGCACACATTCCAGACCTTACCCGGTTACCGTCCACAATGTTACAAAAAAACTTTTTTCATCGAAGCAAGAGTCCATGTCTTTATCGAAGAGTAACGCTGGACTTTCACCGGACATTGACCATTGTGTAAGAGCAGCTAACTAGCAGCCAACGCTGATGGCTGACTCGCCGCGATGCCGTTCTTGGGATTGGGAGGAAGCTGGGCTTTCTCCAGATGAGCTTTTGGCGGAGTCCTCTGATGATAGTGACGTCGTCGAGCTGGAAACTTCAGATCCTGTCGCGATAGCGAGGAAGCGGCCTTTTCAGAAAACAGCTATTACCAAGTCTGGAAATGTTTCCAAAAGGACGCTAGTAGCTCATGGACAGAGCACTGAAGTGGCCATCAGTGCCGAAACACGGGTGCGGAGCCGCTCAAAAGCGACTGTGGCAAGTTAGTGTGCCTGGCATGCCATACAACATTGTCAGGGAAGAAGAGTATAATCATGTCCCATATTGCTACCGCGAGACACAAACAAGGAAAGTCCCGTTTGGAGAGGGAAACTCAGAGGCAGAAGCTGGTCAAGGAGTCCTTCTTGGCGTATCAGAAACGACTTGGGAAGGCTCTAGCCGGCACCGGTCTTCGTTACTGAGGCCGTTAGTTCAGCCGAGTCTCTGCGGCGGATCCAGATTGTGCGTTCTATGTTGGCATGGGTGCAATATTATAGCGTTTTTCTTAGCCCGATACCGCAAGGTTCAGGAGTTTACATTCCATCCGGAGAAGCATTATCAGCATTATTTGGAGCATTATATAGCCTATTGTGGAGCATTACTGAGAGCATTATACCCCATATTACCGAGCATTATCCGCCAACACCTACACACACACCAGTACAATCATAATTGTACTAGTATGTTACATGCACACGTATAACGCAAAGAACAAAGAACGTGATTGTGGCGGCGGGCATTGGATTCGGTTCTTTGCCGTCGTCCTGCGATCGTCGGTCAGTTAATAACGGATCAGTCACCCAAGTCTGTTCAATCTCGAATTCATGGCATTCGACGTGGGTTACATCGGATCCAACTGCATGCATTTGTCGGCTGCAAGGTCAGAATGACGTGGAATACGGGTTTAGGTACAGGTAGACTACTGAGTTACGAGTTGTACAATCACATGTAGGTTGACTTGTCGTGTTGCATCTCTATATTCTCCGCTTCGTTGTCATTATGCAAGTTTCAGCTAGTGGTGCATGCTGGGGACTTCTTGCTCGAAGTTCTCGGCTGCCACTGCTTCTTGGGATGACGTTATCTTGGATGTTACATATTGTGCTCCTTGTAGTGGTCCAAGTCACAATCTTTTGATTCCTATCCTGTTTGCAACGGTGCGTGTACAGACTAGTGGTGTAGGGGACTGTTTGCACCTGCTCCCAGGCCAGATGGTTGTCTAGCAGTACGTGATTTCGAACGCCAATAACTCAGGTACAGTGCTGTGCGTACAATCATGTGAGACCTGTGGCTGCGCCCAGCTGACCAGTACTAGTCTACTACACAGACACATGATAATCATTATCATGACTCCAGACTACATTGTATACAGTACATCGTCATGTATGTGGCATTTGAACAGCAAAGAAGCAAGACCCTGATAGTGCGAGATTTGTAAGAAGTGACAGCGAAGGTCTAGACAGCGGAGGGTGATCTACGATTTTTTGGACACCGCCTGACAAGACTTGACGTGAGTGACAGTATTTGCAACACATGTTGCATATGGCCTCGTCCAAGTACGCATGTAGCGACGCATGTTGCAGTGTCCCGCGTGGCCAAGTGCGTCTGTATGTGTATGTTGCTTACGCGCGGGCGTTTGCGAGCGAGCGTGCGTGTGCGAGCGTGCGTGCGTGTGCGAGCGTGCGTGCTTGTGCGAGCGCGCGCGCGTGCGTGTGCGAGCGCGCGTGCGTGTGCGGGCGCGTTTGCGAGCGCGCGCGTGTGTGCGCGTGTGTATGTGAGTGTGATTCTCATCCCGCGATTACGCTGAAGATCACCAGAAAATGTTTCAGGCAAGCTGGCTCTCAATCATTCTTCTCTCGACTTGGTGGATCTCAGACCAAGATTTCCCAGCGCTTGGACTTTCAATGTACGGCTGGCCGGGGTTAGTACTGTAGAGTGTAGTAAAAAAGGAGTTGGAAAGCAGGGATACATATTAATTATTATCTTCTGTTGGTGCGCTCAGCTACATGCACAATAGATCTACATGTAGCGTGGGAAAGCTTCAGTTCTTTCACACACCAGTGCGTCCTCCTATTTCATCAGCTGGACTTCTCAGCGGGTAGCGAGGTAAGCGATTTATTGTCCGTACACTGGGACGTCTCTTTTCCGAGCACCTTGGGACCAGGCACGCCCCATATCTCAGATTTGCCCTTATCTCAGGATAACTCATCTACCATGTATCATTATCATTTTTTGAAGAAGTACATGTACGGTCCTCAAAACAGACTTACCACCACATAGTCATTGCAAAATCACATGAAAATAAGTTGGTCAATTTCCCATCTCAGAAGCAATGGAATATACATGTAGGGTAATAAAGAAGTGTAAGAGGAAAAACTATCTAAGGCACTTCTTGTTTGGAGCATGAAAAATTGTAGTAGCTATATGCTGCGTCCACAGCTTCGCTTTTGGAGAATGGCTTGGGTGACAGGAGAGAGGATTATTAATACAATTTAAAAATGCTGCGATCAAGCTTGAAAACGCGTGAATCGCGAGGGGTAGACATACAATCATGAACATGTACATGTGTACACTCGGAGGGAGTTGTGGTTGCTCGTGACAGTGCTCCATACACCAAGGTGCAGAGCCTAGTACACACACTTGAGAGGGACGAAAAGAGTTGCTTCTGTAACTCTGAGTTTCACGGTTTTCACCGATCATCAGACCGTATGTGTACATGTACATGTAGTTACATATACATGTACATGTATATCTCACTTCCAACTCCGACATGCAAGCAATGTGCATAATCAGTAAATTGATGTTGTTGTTTTTGTTTTTTTTTCGTTTCCCGTTCTGGGGACCTTCTATTCAGCACTCATTGTAGTTGTATTTCAGTACTGTTGAGCTATCCGAATTCAAATAAACATAAAAAATAAATAAAATTTACAATGTATATGTACATGTACATGTAGATGCGCGATGTTGGGTATTTTCGTCATTCCTGTGGGATACGATGCTATTATGCATGTACAATGTATGATTAACTTTTTGTTCTAAGTTTTATTAAAATCTAGACGTTGTACATTTGTGCAGGTTTGTCGTGACATCAATTTGTTTTGGATCCGTTTCACACGTACTGTACTCGCGGGATTAGTGCCCTGGGTCACTATTTTTATTAATGTCCATCACCTTCACCATTTGCGAGAACTGTGGCAATATGCCAAGGGAGAAGGCAGATTTTGCCTGTGCCTATGATGCTTGTGCCTCTATAATAATATTATAGAGAAGCCGAGTCTCACGCGAAAAATTGTTTGTGGTGAAGTAAAATAAAGCTAAACAAACAAACAAAACAAACAGATGCGGCAATATTCAAGAGCGGGCACCTTTCAAAACAGGTCACTATTTTTTTAAAGTTGATACATTATCGTCATCCAGCATAAAACAAAGAAAAATAAAGCCGTACGTTTTCTGTGTACTGTCCCCACTCAACAGAAGCGACAAAAATAATTGCGAATTTCCGGATCCTGAAGCGACCAGAGAAAAGACAGGGACAAGAACATTATGAACAGAACACCAAGCTGCCTGTTGCTTGCACATGGGCTTGGTAACAAGTCTGTGGGTGAGGCACTATTCGAGAGACTGGAGACCTATTAGAGATTGGGCGCTTCCACGACAGTTCGCAGAAAACATTCTCGACGAACGACTGTTCGTCGAATCCTGTTCGTCCCCAAGCCATTTCGATTACTGGCCCATAAGGTGACTGTCCTTTTTGACGTGTGAACTTCTCGCTGAGTGATAGGTTCGACGAAAGGTATTTTCATCGACAACCTTTGTCGAGGCCTGCAATTTTCGTCGAATGACACGAAATCGACCTCTAAATACATGTAGACCTAAAAAAAACGAACGAAGGGAAAGGGAAATGTACAAATGCAAAAGCGAACACGAGGCGAGGACACAAACAAGTGGGAGCGAAAGCTTTCCATGGCGTGAGCGTGGCGGTGCAATTCTAACAGATGGATCGAAGCAAAACTTTATTACATATAGGTGCGCCCTCCCAACAATCAACCATATCTGCTGATGGTCTTCAAGCAACTACGAGAACTGGTGATGGAAGTGGATCTCAAGCCGTCCACCAAGCGTGGAAAAGAAAAGCTCATTCACCGCGGGTATGGCTACGTTGTGGACAAGGTTGGAAAGGATGGAGTAGTTTACTGGAAGTGCGATGAGAAGGATGCCTTGATCTGCAAGGGAAGAATGAGGACAAGGCACGGGCTGGTGACGGCGGTAACTGGCAACCACAGACATGCTCCGGATGCCATGCGTGGGGACATAACCAAAGTAAGGGACCAAATATCCCCGCGGGCTGCCACATCGCAAGAGTCCATGCATCAAATTGTCACGGCCGCAGCGGAGCTTGTCATCCCTCAAGAGTATACCACCACCACGGCCAACGGTGACGACTTTTTGTTGTACGACAGTGTTGCTGCGTCCGGGGATCAACGTTGTTCAGATTCTCATAGCATTCTATTGCCTTCAAGCACGTGTTATCTGATCCAAATCTCCACGATGTAATTGTTGATAGTTTACAATGATCCTTCTTTGCTTTCTCTGTTGCCGCCTCGCAACATGGCTATGTCCCTTTATTTTGGTGTCACGACTGTTCGCTGACAACCTGTTGGACGAACGACAGTACGTTGAAACCTGTTCGACGACAACCCCTTTCGCCGACAGCCTTTTTCGCCGTCTGACATTTTGGCCGACAACCTTGTTCGACGACTGGTCTTTTCGTCGACTCCCCCCTTAGACGAGTTGTCTTTTCATCGCCTGGCTTGTTGGACAACCACTCAAACCATGCTTCAGAAGCACCTCATACCTACAAGTACTTTGATTTAGATGAAGTGATGTTTCCAGTGCACACACATAGGTGTAAAACATAGATGACAATGAAGGGACCTAGCCATGTTGGGAGGCGGCAACAGAGAAAGGAACAGTCTTGAATGTGCCTTCCACGTACCAAGCGTCACACTTCTCTAATAGGTCCAGGCCTTCCTTCGTAGAGTACACCAGGATGCGGTGATCCCCGGACGCAGCAACACTGACGTGCAACAAAAGTCGTCACCGTCCGCCGTGGTGGTGTAATCTTGAGGGATGACGAGCCCCGCTAGTGAAGTCGGGTTTGGGGGAGCAGTCCCTGTTCGGACTGTCATGCGTTGACCGGTTCTTATCAGAACACTTTCGGATGGCAGACACCCAACCGTAGCAGGTGAAGCAGAGTTTACAGCGGTCGTGACAATTTGATGCATGGACTCTTGCGATGTGGCAGCCCGCGATCATACTTGGTCCCGTGTTTTGGCTACGTACCCACGCATGGCATCCGGAGCAGGAGTGTGGTTTCCAGTTACCGCCATCACCAGCCGTGCCTTGTTTTGATCCATCTGTTAGCATTGCACCGCCACGCTCACGCCATGGAAAGCTTTCGCTCTCACTTGTTTGTGTCCTTGCCCCATGTTCCCCTTGTATTTGCACATTTCCCTTTCCCTTCGTTTTGTTTTGTTAGGTATATTTAGAGGTCGATTTCGTGTCATTCGACGAAAATCCCACGCTTCGACAAAGGTTGTCGATGAAAATACCTTTCGTCTTACCTGTCACTCAGCGAGAAGTTCACACGTCGAAAAGGACAGTCACCTAATTGGCTTGGGGACGAACAGGATTCGACGAACAGTCGTTCGTCGAAAATGTTTTCTGCGAACTGTCGTGGAAGCTCTAAATCAACGTTCCTGTAGGTATGAGGTGCTTCTGAAGCATGGTATGAGTGGTTGTCCAACAGGCCAGGCGATGAAAAGACAACTCGTCTACGTGGGGAGTCGACGAAAGGACCAGTCGTCGAACAAGGTTGTCGGCCAAAATGTCAGACGGCGATTAAGGCTGTCGGCGAACGGGGTTGTCGTCGAACAGGTTTCGACGAACTATCGTTCGTCTAACAGGTTGTCCACGAACAGTCGTGATACCGGCACTGTTCAAGAGCGGGCTCTAACCTCGCGAGTACGGTTGTATTGTTTTCTATATCATTCTAACTTCAATTAGCGACATGCAATGATGCCTTCCCAACACCTAAGGGCTTGCTCCCACAGAATGATGAAAATGTATAGATGGTTACGGCGATAACATTAGGTATGAGAACGTATCGAAGGATAACTAAAACCATTACATGTATCTTCATTCAGCCTTGTATTTGGCTAAATATGGATGAGATATGCAACGGAACGGATGGAGTGGTTTCACAGATGAATGTTTGGGTGAAGAAATAGAGTCGCGCTGCTGAAGTTTACAAATAGAGAAAGAATAACAAGTCAAGGAATGAGAGGACAAAATTTCTAAACAAGAGGCAGAGAGAGAGAGAGAGAGAGATAGAGAGAGAGAGAGGGAGAGAGAGGAATCCGATGGGTGAGCCATTCTTACATCTACAGGCGGAGAATTCCATGTAGACCGTCCATGGACGTGTCGTGTGTCAGTCACATAGTACTGGGAGAAAGGGAATACGTTATAAAAGGACGAATGGCCACAAGAAATGATCACTGTCTTCTGACAAAACACTGCTATCACGTTATAATGAAGTGATGGTAAAAATCAACTTGAAGACTCATTTAAACAGCGGAAACAGAGACGAAGACTTTCCGGCGGTGAATATGATCAAGAGGCAATAGCGTATGTGGTAAACCCACCACAAGTCGGTTACAAGGTCGTGTTCGATGATAAAGCAACTTTATGTATCACATGTTAGTAGGTATGAGAACTATACTGTCATTGCGTACTCTCTCGTTATAAGAATAATTCCTTTTTTATTAATCATAGCCACACGGAGGACAAGTGTTGCTGTAAGTATTTCCTATTATTGCGACATGCCTGATTAAAACATATATGAAATGGTGATAGGAAGGCACACAACGAAAAGGAGATAGAGGACTTGGTCATAACTGAAATGCTTACAGCGAAACTAGTCCTCTTTGTTGCTTTAATAAAACTGCTGTCTCCGAAACGCAGATTTGCTTAATTTCCTTGCTTGTATCAATTCTGAACTGCACATGCCTCAAAATATTCTGATAGTCAATGCTGTATTTGAAGTCTTATCTTAGTGCTTTTTCGTCTCTTTCTTGCTTTTAATCGCTCCCAGGATGCCATGCCTTGACAGCGCCCAGCGAGTGGATGAGTCATGGGATGGGAGGACGAGAAAGAACTGCTACGTCACTGCGGTCCTGACTGCCATTCTGGTGATTATAACCGTGGGCTTTGTGCTGCTGGGTGTGTTCTGGCAGGTTCGATTCTACTACGCGGCAGGTGCGGTTGGTCTTGCCTTTCTGGTCACTGCAGCCGTGCTTACTAGGTACTGTGTGGTCTGTATCAGCCATTGGAAAACACTCGACTCAGGACCAGAAGGCAGTGCGGAGTCCGGTATGCAGATAGCAGACAACTGGTCTCAAGCCAGCCCGTCAGCAACTGCTCCAAGTGGCCAGAAGCGAGCAATCTTCACACAGAGTGTTCCAGCCTTAGTGCAACCTACTCTGGAGAGTCGCGACGGGCCAGCAAGGAAAAGTGCTGGTGTGCCCTCAAAGAAAACCTACCCACCGCTCGCAATGACTCACACTTTACCAATATAAACTGGTCGATTCAGTTCGGTGATTCAGACAGAATTGCCGTCCATCAGCCCCTTAATGAAGCTTTCGCAGATTGAGATTCGCAGGAGTCTGACACCAATAAAATTATGGGATCGAATGGTCCGGAAATTTCCCAGGAAAGGTGTAAAATCCACATTCATGTTGCTCACTAAATCCACCCCTCTGATAATGACATGTTCTAGCAAGAATATTCAATGACATTACCAATGCAATAACACTGATCATAATTATTTTCACGTTACTCAATCACTAGTTGTAATTAAAAAAATGTGTACTAACTTTTACTCTTCCCCACCTTGCATAGTATAGCCTTGATCATGCCATCTAGCCATTATCTTTCCCCGGCGGTTATTGAAGTCTGGACAGGTTGGCCATTCATAATAAGACTATAGTGGAATACCCATTCTTTCCACGTGAGTGGTATGTTGATGGTCACCAAGAGTTGCGGACAAGAGAGGACTCAGTAACCATGTATCTTTCTAGAATGGCAACAATTTACCAGTACACACATTCTTGCTCCACATTATTATACTGGTACACACAGAGACCTAGGGAGCAATAGCGACAACACGCAAAGTGAAGGGTAGCTGGCCGCAGCCAGATGTGAACCGGGTAACGAGGCAGGTATGGAAGCAAAGACTGAGAACAGAGTGTCTCCGATAGAATATATGTGCCAGCGGATAGCAGAAATAGGCCATGATGCAGAACCACTTGGGATTGTCTCATTAATCGTCCTGGACCAAGCCAGCCGGGAAAAAAACCCTAGCGCCGACGGACTCAGTAGTGAGGGAAAAAAGCCGGGTGTATATCCCCAATTCCGATTAGGCATCATAATTATATGCATTGTAAACACTTCACGGCAAAAGTGATAAAAGCAATAATAAGATGCACGGAAATGAGGGTTGTGAAAGCAGGTACACTGGTGAGACTCAAAACCTGAAGAGGTCAGGAAAAGAAAGAGCAATAAAGAATGTTTGAAACTCGGATGTTGAGCCATAAATAAATGTAAAAAGGAAAAGGACATATGGATACAAGTTAGGCCCCATTCACACACGGTACAAAACCGCATACAAGCATCATGTTCTTTGAAGTGGGCATGGAAACATGCGCGAAAAGTGAAAAATCACATCAACGTTCAAAGCCATCCCTGAGCGGCTATGAAGGCGGCTTTGAAAGCGGATTTCGGCTTTTAGTTTTCAGGCAATTCGAAACGAGTGGTTTGGTGTGTCGAGTGCACAGAGTTTTTGTTAGTTTTTGGAGAGTCCGGTACCATGCCTCGAGTAGTCTTTTCTGCCGAGGTGGAGCTACGGCTGATAGAACTATGGGGAAAATACCAGCGAGAAAAGTAGAACTATGAATCGTATGATGAAAAGAGCTGTTGCCGGGAAGAGGATTGCAGATGAGCTGAATCTGTGCGCAAAGCAGCTATCCGGAGGTGATCAGGAAATGACGAATGAAATGCACGGCCGCTATCGTTCACAACTCCAGCACACTCAGAGGAATACACCAGTTGTGGAGGCGTTCAACCGAGATCATACTAGCGGACCAAGAAATAGTATTTTTGAAATATTGAGCCAAGTGCAGCACGGTACCGGTGCGCTCAGCTCATGCAGAAATCAAAATTCCCGCTCTTCGCCATGGGTCACGCAGGTCACTTTTTACGTGTTTGGCATGCACTGCATTTGACTGTGTGAATGCACAGGCGTTGCAAGTGGCTTGTACGGTCATGTAAACGCGAATTTTTGTACCGTGTGTGAATGCAGCCTTAAGAACAACTCTCCATCACTGTAACTGGATACTACATGTATATACAGTCAGAAAGTGCAATAACTAGGCACAAACCTGACAGAGTACTGAGACATTCGACGTCTTGACACCTAGCTTCAACACATCTAGAGAATGTTTGGCGAGAATTTTTCGACTGTCTCGCTGCGCTTGGTTGGGGAAAAATACAACATTTCGTACTTGAAGGTCAACAAGACTTTTTTGGATGGAAGTAAATAAACTAAGAAAGTGGTGGGCATCACGCAACAGCATTATAAATATAGGGGATTTTTCAGCTGACACCCGCTCTAATCATTTTGCTATTCACAATCGGCGCATACGCGGGATGACTAGTGCTATAGTGTGAGGTCGAAATTTTATGACGTGTCCGGCAAGTCACCCATTGTCCGAACAATTTACAAGGGGTGAACCCGGCCTTTTATAGCGAAAGCAAGACAGAGCGCATGTATGTCCATTTACAAATCAAACACACAATAGCCGTATATATAATTATTAGAGTGTGTGAATTCACTGAGGGAGTGGGTATGCAAAAATGCAGCAGATGATGTGGAGAAAATACATTACAAAGGTGTATACAACAACAATGACCATGTGCAAAACCGTGTAGAGACACAGTAATACTAATATTGAGCTGTTTTGTTTCCCTGTGAAGGTGCTAAGGCCTTTGCGGGCCATCCGAAGGGTATACCGGTATTGATCTCCGGAAGACGCTCCCGAATCTCGATAGACACTTGCACTCATATTACGCACGGTGTATTCCAGCGCTGATGTTATCTCCTCAAGCTTCGTGGTTGCGGCACTGCCTTAGCCTACATTGCAATCACCCTATATAACTAGCGATTAGCATTACTATGTTTTATCGGCTGATGAGTAGTTTTTGAAGCGCGAAACTCGGAGTTACGAGAAAGATTTTTGGTCTATGTTGTTCTGCCCCGTGTAGAGATTTTTTTCGTCATCCAACATTTCACAGCCTGCTATTTAGGCTCAATGAAAATAGGGCGCATGGAAAATAAGGTTGTTTAGTTCTTAAGTCGTTATCAATGACGTCAAACTAAGTACATGTAACAGGAAACTGTTGGACCAATTGTCAGCATTGTTCACGAATATAGGTAAACATTTATAGGACGTCTCCAAGAAGCCCTGCAGATGTGTTGTGCATTACTGTAAAACCGGAAAGTCTAACGAGTCACAAAGTCTAACGTCTTAACAACCAATTCTTTTTCGTTATTTGAAAAACACGTTATCGCTAGATGTCTGTGTAAAGATGTGCACACAGATGGATGGCCAGGTAGCCATCGCCAAACTTTCTGCACGTAATCATGCCAAAATTACAAAAAACGTTAAACTTTTTGGTCGTTAGACTTTCCGGTTTTACAGTATATAACTGATCTGTTCACGTGATAGTTGAACTCTTTGTGTTTCCACGGCCAGTTAGTTCCCTGCTGCCAAGAGTACTCTTGCTGCTACTAGTAGTATAAGTTCATGGCCATAATTATCGCGCCATAGCTTCGGCCAGTTCCACTTTCGTCCATTCCTTCCAATATCGATGACGAGAAGAGAAAGCTTCCCAGACCAAGATATAAATCGTGACGATTGGGGCGTCTGGACTGCGGCAAACATCTTTAAAGGGGCACTCCGGCTTCATTTTCAACGCCGAGTTTTCGATGCCAAGACGAAGGTTGGTGAAAGAGAAGACCCATCGAACAAGAACGAGGCTCCAGAAGCGATCGAGTCGAGCAGGAAGACGACTTTTGAATTTCGCCGAGCGAGCGCTGATGACGTAATGAGGGATTAGCTTGCCAGTGGAAATGCATCTGCGCACATACATTTCATGCACTTTTTGGCCAATTTTCAATCGAAGAGGAGGTTGTTTTCTATGTTCTCTCAACGTCGTGAGCGATCCCGTCTTCTATACCCTTCCAGGTACCCTGAAGGTCCTCCAGAGGAGAATTTATCTCCAGCAAAGCGTTGTTGATTCGCTAAATTCGTCTCGAGACATATTCAGCCAGTGCAGTGCTGATAAATGTAGAATGTTGAATCTGTGATAATTGTCGACAATGGAGAGAGAGGCTGATAGCCGCTGTCGCAGGGAGAGTGAAGCTGCTGGAAGTAACAACGGGGAGCCCGTTTGTATCACCTGAACAACCAGACTTCAAAGCAGCTTGACGGAATCGGGGAGCACTGACTATTTGTCTCGCCCTCAGTTTAGTGAATTTTATGACCAGAAATTATTCGATCAGGATTCCTTCTACAAGATGTGTAGTGTAGTACAGGTGATTTCTGAACTTGACGATATGGAGACGGACCAGTAGACCTACCAACAATATTTACCTGCAGGAAATTCACCCAAGGCTATTGCTATCCTCTTCAGTGGCTGTTGTTTTTTAGTAAAAATATGTTCACTTCTCTCAACATACTCCTGCATGGCAGCAAGAAGGTGCGCTATGGAATTCAACGCCACAATCTTCGCCCAGCTGTGGATGAAGCATGGTCAAGTCATGGCAGTACATATACTTGAAACAGATGAGAAATTGAAGTTCATTTGTGATGGGAAGTTTGACAGCCCCAGTGACCGAGTCAAGCGTTGTCTTTTGCCGTGGCACAAATTGCTGAAGAATCCGAGATGGTCTTGGAATTATGCACATGGATACTACCAGAAATAATGGTGGCATGAACCATTGTGGAATGGGACAGCTCACGGAGAATACTGGAATAGCTCAAGTATCTCTAGGTGATTGTAAATCCTGTTCTGGCTGGTAGCTTCGGCCTGCTGTGCCAGTCCATGTACGATGATGGGAACATGCATTTCTGTTTTCTACATATATTCCGGCTACTATACTGTGGTATTACAGTTGCAGGTCCCTTCTATAGAAATATGTCCCCCCCCCCCTCCATACCCACATTATAGAATAATATGAACTAACAATTTCACTGTTGGACTCGCCGTGGCGAGAGCAAAGAGTTAGTTTATAGCAAAGAAAAGGACTAGGAAACTACAAGTTACGCTATAATGTCCACGAACAATTTTACTGTATTTGAAATAATTTTGTTTGATACCCTGAGAACTCTGAAACTTTGCAGCACTGTGGATTATATGTGGACCAACATTTATGGAAGGAAAAGTGGAATAATTTCTAACACATTGCTCAAATAATTATAGCACTGGATTGTTGAGATTATGAGCACATTCCAATCAGCACTCTACATATTTATAAGCGGTGGCAATCGTTAGGAATAGGTCGGGAGTAGTCAGAGTGCTCTAGTATTATGAGAGAATGTTTTGTTTGTCTAATCGACGGCTCGTTTGAAGCCAGAGTTGTTTGAACTTGTTTCAGTCGACTTGATTCTAGACAGTAGTCGAAGGAGTACTATGAAGTATACACCAGACGTAGTCCGTAAGGATCTCGTGAGAATTCTGTCGGTACACATCAGGTATCAGCTTGCAAAGATGGCTCCTCTCTGTTTCTTGAAAGCCTGTCTAGTTGGACTGTGGCTCCAGCGATTCCCTTCTCAGAGCAGATACCATACCCAATACGGTCAATGCATATTGGACAGACCTGTGTGCACAGCAGAAATAGTGGAGAGAAATCTCTCAGCTCATAAACACATCAGTGAAGTTTGAACTGCCGTTGTTTGTGGCCATCAGTATAAACCTATCGACTATAAGAATAATGTGCAAAAAACATCTATAACTACAGCTAGGGCCATGGAATTACAAAGTT